ATTTTAATTAATTAATTGTATTTTTTTATATAGACCATAGCAGATTCAGCAAAATTTCACTTTAATATTGGTTTAATTTTTGCCACTCTTGGTGAACATGAGGAAGCTGTAAGTTGCTATTTAATTAACAACTTTTTATTGAGGGAGAATTAAATGATTTATTAATTTGATCTTTTACAAATTAAATCATGATGATAATAGTGTACTTCATATAAAAAGTCGGTAAAATTGGATGAGTATTTTGCTGTTGCTTACTTCCAGAAAGGCGTGTCACACTTTCTACTGAGTGAATTTCAAAAGGCTTTGAATACTTTTAATGATGCGTTAATGGTAAATAATAGTAGATAGATACAAATATTTATTTATTACTTGTTTAAAACATTCATTGGCTAAAATTTAAATTTCGAAAAAAAACTTAGTACCTTCGTGGTAATATGCTTATCGATTATGAGCAATTAGGCCTAAAGTTTCGTTTATATTCATGTGAGGTCTTATTTAATAGAGGATTATGCTACTTATATCTTGGTGAAACTGATAAAGGATTAGATGATTTCAGAGCTGCATCAAAAGAAAAACAAACAGAAGAACATGATGTTATAGATGAAGCAATCGATGTTCAGGGTCAAGTATGTAATATTAGCATTATTCATTGACTGTGTTGATTAATATATACAATATTAACATATTAACCTATTTACCCGTTAATTTATTATCAGGATTTCACTGTATTTTCTATTCCTGTGGGAGTAATTTATCGACCACCTGAAGGCAAACTTAAAAATGTTAAAACAAAAGATTATTTAGGCAAGGCAAAATTGGTGGCCGCTATTGATCCTGAAGATGCATTTACTGGTTTTACAGGTGCTCAACAACAAAAGGTTTGTTGAATTTAACTTGCTAAAAATTAATTAATCGTTCAATTATATTTAAACGAGTGAACATGCATATATATGTGTGTACATATGCATGTATGCATGCATGCATGCAATGTGTGTGTATCTATATTTAAAGAAAATATCTCACTTTTATTTATATTATATTATAATGATAATAATGATAATAATAGAAAGCACAATTAAATACAACATCACCAATTAGTAAATCCAAAACTGGTGGCAAAGTAGATGAAATGAATGGTTCATCTTTACGTCCTGATTCTGTCTCAGAAAAATTTAACAGACCCAGATCTTTATCATCCAATCCTAGAGCTCCTCCATTTCCTATTACTCGTAATCAAAGTTTCTCAAAAAGACTTCCCACCACTCCTGGTTCTCCAGATTTAACTTACTCTAATGAAGAAAACTTCTCTTTGAATGGTCAACAACTATCTTCATCTTACTCCGATTCCATTCCAAGAAGTAAATCGCCATCTCCTTATCAAAATGACACAGGGAAAAATGATAACAACAATGATTCGCAGCCACCACCAAGAACTATTTCAGTACGCAGACCTCCTCAATTAAGATTACAACCACAACCGCCTCAACGTTCAAATACCATAGATAATGGCCGTCCATCACCTAAATTTGCTCCTCCTTCACGATTAAATTCTGTACGTGATCCAAACCGTCATCCACCATCTATTAGAGAAGGTCCAACAAGATCTAATTCATACAGAGGTGATCCACCACCACAATCCAGATCCAATTCTATTAGAGGTGTACCTAGAATGAATTCTACGAGAGGAAGAGGGACGGGCAGGCCCGGTCCACAGAGACAAAATACACAAGTACGAGCAGAATTCCTACGACAACAAATGTCAAAGATGAATGTTTCTGATGATAGCAGTGGAAGTTATCCTGACTATTATCAAGATTCTGATCAGTATAATTCGGATCAAAAATATGATTATGACCAATATTATAATGACGGTGATGGATTTAATTCTCCCAAGATAAATAGTAATAATGGCAGTAGAAGTCCGGTTACTTCGCCTGCCCGTTCCCCCAGTTTACGTGGTCGTGGTAATAATTCAATTTCTATGCCTGGTTTCAAACCCTCACCTTTATCCGCACCGACTGGAATGTTGTCTCCCCCATCTGATAATAGTGAAGAACATTATTCCAATTTTATCTTTAATGAAGATGATGATAATTTTGCTTATGGTGATGATGACGATACACAATTTGAAATGCTTCCACCACCACAAAAATCTTCAAAACCTATTACTAATGAACCTTTGATAAAGCCTACAAAGGTTTTTATTGATTTTTTTTATTAAATTTACATATATACATTCATTGATTTTTTATTAATCTACACGCACGCATATTTTTTATTAATAGATTAAAATTAAATGTTACCATACTGATACCAGAGTAGTTATGGTAGCAGCCGATATAAGTTATTCCGAGTTATTGAAACGAATACAAGAAAAATTTGCCTCTGATTCTTCATTCAATTTACATTATAAAGATGAAGATGGTGAAAAGGTTAGGATGACAGACCAAGAAGATTTAGATATGGCCGTATCTCTGATTCCTAAATCAACAAGTGAGATTGGAAGGATGGAGGTTCGTTAAATAATTATTTTTTTTTGTAAAAAAAATTTTTCTTTTAAATTTTAAAAAAAATTTTTAAATATTTTTTTATGCAGGTATGGTTAGATTAACATTTATAAGTAAAATATCTTTATATCGATTGGAGAGAATGAATATATACATACTATAAATTCCAATCTCATACACATATAGATAGAATAAATGTATTTTATTAATTTTAATAACGTAAGTAGATAATTAATTAAATGCACTCTTTGACACACACATATACACTAAAATCATATACATACATACATATTGTATACACACACAAAAGTGTCCTTTTATTTTATATATATATATATATATTATTAATTTTAATCATTAAAAAAATCTTTTTTTTTGTATATTTGATAAAAAAAATTTTTTGAGAGAATTCCAACTTAATATTTATTATATAATTGATTGGATAATTTATTATTTATATGATATATTTTCAGAAAAATTGGTTTTTTTTAGAAAGTCATTTTTTAGTTTATTAATAAAAAAGCATTATATAAAATATAATTTTTCATATTTTCACGTAATTCCTAAAAAGATTGTCTGGCATTTTCTTAAAAATGCACCCTCCTAGGACTCCAGGATTTGGTGATGATACTCCCAATTCATATCAATATCTTCAGAGCCGATAAGAAACGTATCTGAAAAGATTTCTGTCCACATTTGAGCTTTTATATGATTTTCTGATGGTTTACCCCCTGGACCTCGGCAAGGTGTCGATGAGTAGAGAAGAACAGAAGTGATTGCTGTCAACGCTGTTGCAGTGTTCCTCCATTACAATCTTGTCAACCATTTTGTAAGCCTTGCATTATCCAAAATTCCTTCTGTAATTAAATTATGCATAAACATAGCGGTGAATAAGTTTATTTTGGGTTTCTATAAGAACAGGCCCAACGACAGACAATTTGAGCATTGAAGATAAGTGTCCGGGCTCGTTGCGATTCTTATATGTGATGGGTTCCACATTTCTTCAAGAATTCTTCTATATTGTAGGAGTAACGTGACAATGCACAAATCAAATGTTAATTCCTCAACGATCTCATATTCTGGGAATGTTTGTGATTTAGGTTCTTCCTCATTTTCATTGTCATGTGATTGTTCATTGTAAGAAAATGGATTTTCAAAGTGAGTTGTGGAGTGTTTTCCTTTTCGTGTGACATCAATAAAATGACCTCAACTCGACCAGTAGTCGCGGGGTACATCTCTTATGAAAATGCAAAATGTTCACGCTACAGCGATGTATAAACCAGACACTTTCTTCCTACACCAGTAGCGCAGGGTATAGCATATAATGTTGTAAGCAAAGTTTGCATGTCATGGCGTACATAAGACTGAACGCTTTTCATCTACATACTAGTAGCATAGGGTGTAGAATATTCACTATCATGAAAAATATTACTGACCTTTAAATCACGCTGGATCGCTAATTGCCAGGTTTTAGATCCTGAATCAAATTTTTAATTCGGCACTCAAGGTATTATGTGACATGTGTCTTGTTGCAGATGGGTTTTTCTCGATGAAGAAGTGATCCCACGTCTCTAAATTTCCTCCTTTGAAGGAGATTTCTCCCAGTACTTTGACATATGGGTACAACGTTAGAGTATTTAGCATCATCCATATAGTGAAGAAGAATAAACGCTTACCAGATTTTGAACTTTATTAACTCGTGGTCCGCCGATCAACGATAGATTTTTAATGTGTAGATCCGGGATATTAAACATATTAAAAATTGGTTGATGATCAAAACCAAAACTACCCATTTTTATTTTAAAAAAAATATATATTCTATTACTTTTTTTTTTTAAAAAAACTCTTAAAAAAATAATAAACTGTTTATTTTATATCTATAAATTCTATAAAAACTTATTTCAATCATGAATAATTTATCTGTGCAATTATTATCTAGTGGTATTATTGATCCTGATTTACATTGTGGAGTACATGCAAAGATCTGGTGGTTTCAAGCTTCTAAAAACTTATACAATATTTGTTATTGGAATCCAATCTGTGTTGGAATGAAAACACAATTTATCCTTAATAGTAAAAATTTTATATTACGTGTTATGAAAGGTAACAAGCTCAATGCACTTCATCCAGGATATTGTTGCCAATGCGATGAAATTTCAAGTGAAGTTGAAAGTAATCCAACTAATGCTGTTTCCAATTTATATCAAAAAATTTTCCAAAGCTCAACAAGAATTTCTGGAATTAAAGCATTAGGATTTGAGTCAAATGACATTGTTCAAGAATTATTATTAAACATTGAATTTAGACCATATTCAATTCAAATTGAAAGAATTAACTTATTTATTTATGGTTTAGGTATTTCAAAAAATAAAGAATTTTGTGGAGCTGGAAATGGATACATATCTTCCTTTAATTATAAATTTTCAAATAAATGGTGTACATTTATTCAAAAAATAATCAATGATAAATTTATAATTGAGATATGGCATGAAGATGAATTACTTAAAGAAATTAAAAAAAAATGATCCAAATGATGCTTGGAAAGGGCTAGGAATTCTGAATAAATATGAAGGAAAAAAAATTTCTGGTTTAAATAATAATGTAACATCAGTAATTCTGGAAGAGTTGAACACTTTGGCTTGTACTCCAAATGATTGGGATGATGTGGGTTTAATGCAAAAAATATTTGATTACTATCTAAAAAAAAAAACAATTGCAAACATAAACTGGTATAATTTTTTTTATCAATGGCATAAACAAAATTCTAGTATGATAGAGCTTTATTCCTCTTTAGAAAAAATATATCCCTTAAATCATAAGTTTAGTGATCGTGAATTACAAGCATGGAATGCAATGTTAAGAGCTGTGGGTTGTACAAATATCACTCCTTTCAGTAATAAAATTTCACCTGTAAGTTAAAATAATTTCAAATGATCATTTTTATCTAAATGAGCATACTAATTAATTAATATACAAATTATCATTTTTTCATTTCAGTATAGGTTTTGGACTAGAGCTATTGATCCTAAACCTGACAAAAATAATATTGATTTTTTATATAAATCTGGTTTTTTAAGTGCATATCCATCTTACAATAGTAATGAAACCTTTTGGAGTTGTTTCAAGCAAAGCCTTGATGAAAATAAACGAGGGTTAGATGGAAGGCAGAGAATACTGTCCATTATTGCACAAGATTTTTCATATGACACATTACAAAAAAAATTAGAGGTAAAATTTTTCAATAGCATCTAATAATTTATTTATATATAATAAGCTGTTTAATAAGCTGTTTAATACAAATATATTTTATTAGGTTTCACCCAATTCTATATCAGGTGCAAAAAAGTCTGCACAAATTTATGGGCGTGGATGTAAGCCTTTAGAAAAACCGGTTCATACCCAAAGATCTAAGAATCACAGAAGAGATAAAATCACAATTTGATGCTTTTTTTTCTGATAAAGCTAATGTTTCTATGAGCTCATTTAAAGTTGATCCTAAATCTGAATTACCAATATTATATTTACAAGATCAGAAGCAATCTTTGTGGAAAAAATACTCAGAAATATACCCAGGTGGAATGTCAAGGACAACCTTCATGCTTCAATTACAAAATGGTAGGTATAAATATAGAGATGACTTAGGTGGACTATGTTCAATTTGTGCTGATTATGGATATGGTGTATTTGATGATTTAAATAAAGTTGTAATAAAATATATAAATGATAGTAATATTCAGGTAATTATTTTATAATCTTATTTATAGTATATTTATTCATTTATTAATTCATTTATTAATTTTTTATTTATAATATATTTATTCATTTATTAATTCATTTATTAATTCATTTATTTATTTTTTATTTATAGTATATTTATTCATTTATTAATTCATTTATTAATTTTTTATTATAGTATATTTATTCATTTATTAATCCATTTATTAATTTTTTATTTATATCATCATCTATATATAATAGAAAGAATTATCTGAAGAAATTCAACTAATTAGAAGGCACATGAAAAAAGATTATGAGAATGAAATAAGGATTAATATTGGTGAAAATGGGGAATTAAAACATGATAAGTATCTTGATCATTGTTTGCTATATGCTTTTGGTACATGTAATGAGGAGCATAATTTAAGATGCAAGGGTTGTTTAAAATTCCATAATTTTTTTGAAAAAATAATTCCATTATTGCCAGAAAATGAACTAGAAAATATCGAGAATTACAGGGAAAAATTATATTATTATTTAGCACATCAGGCAAGAAAAGTTTATTTAAATACTCAATTTTGATCAAATTTATTAGAATTAGATGAAAATGGTGCTGTAATAATCATCGACTATAAAATGAGGATATTGCCAAAAACAGCTTGAGAGACCAAAACTGAATTTTTTGGGAAACATGGGTGGACATTACATTCAGTATTAATGTACACCAAATCAGAAAATCAAGAAAACTACAACATAATTGCATATGATCATTGGTCTGATGATACTAAACAAGATGCATGGTTTACAGCATCTTCCTTAAATGCAGTTTTTGAAACCATGACAAAAAAACCAAAATGGGTAACAATTATTTCTGATAATGGGCCTCATTATCACAATTCAGAATTAATGATAATTTTGTCATATTGGAAGGATTGGTATGATATTACAATTCATAAATGGATTTTTCTTGAACCTGGTGAAGCTAAAACTACAATTGACTCTCATCATGCTCAGGTAAATTAAATTTATTATAAGTTATTTAATAATATTTTTTTAATTATTTATTTTTGCTTTTTATAGATTTCACATTCAATTAAAAGATATGTTAGATTAGGATGTAATATTACAGAAGGTAATGATATTGAATTAGCCATCAAAGGTTTACTAGGCACTTCAGTAGCAAACCTGACACCGAATAGGGAAAAAAATAAAGGAAAAATGAAAACAATACCAGGTATATCCAATTGGTTTGAATGGCAATGGCCAACAGAAGGTCAATATGCTGGTTATATTAGAGCTAGATCCTTGCCTAATATAGGTGGATGGAAAAATTTCTCCCCAGCACAGATTCAAAAATTATCAAAAGCAAAAGTTACTAAACCTCAACCACAAATTTCTAATAGTACTAGATTTAACACTTTTCCAAGCTCTATTAGTGAAAGTTATAGCATCAAGAATATCAAGTGGTGAGATTTCTGAATTATTTTCTTGTGCTTGATCATATGCATCTATTCGATTAGACACTAAAATTTTTCTGTACTGAGCCTTGAAACTATTTATAATACCTGCATCTAGAGGCTGTAAATGTGCGGTAGTATTTGGGGGAAGGAAATGAATTTTAATGTTTGATAATGGCACATCTTCATTTAATAAATGAGTTGGAGCATTGTCTGCCAATAATAAAATAGATCTCATGATTTGATTTAATTTGAATAGGTACTGTTTCCAGATAGACGCCTGCATCCATGCAGTTTTGTTCCAAAAATACCAAACAGGTAAATCATCTTTTTTGATTCCTCTTAAAACTCTTGGTGTTTGCCATTTGTATAAATAATGGAGTTAATTTATCGCTCCCATCAAAACAATAGTAACCCTATCCTTTGACTTTTTAGTACCAGAAATGAAGTGATCTGAAAGTGTTTTGGATGGTTCTAAATTCCAATATAATGCAGTTTCATCAACATTGTAGACATCACGAGATTCATAATCTTGAATAACTTCTTTTAATAATTTTCTCTCATTTCCTAATGTTTCTAGTGGGGCACTATTTGCTTCACCTGATTTAAAGTACTGTTTTATATGATGACGGTTTTTGAATTTTGTCAACCAACCATCTGACCCACTAAAACCTTCTTTTTGTAATTTAGTAGCAAATTGCAATCCTTTTGACTTCAATATATCTCCAGAAATGGCTATATTCGAAGATAAAGCTTGTTGCATCCATAAATATAAAGCGGCTTCAACTTCAGGAAATTTTCCTCCCCTCTCTCGTTTTTGATTACTCAGATTTTCATTCTTAGATAACCATTTTTCCTTATTTTTTAACACACTGGAAATTAATGACCTTGATACTTCAAATTTGTTTGCAATATTTTCTAGAGCTTCAGATGGATAATTATTCTTCCATTCACATATTTCTTTTTTCTCACCAAATGTTAAATTTTTTCTTTTATTATTATTTTTATCCATATTGATAAATTTTGTTTTTACATGAAGTTTTTACAGTCATCTATTTATAAGTGTTTATTTTACTATTAAATAATAATGACATCGAACACAATATTATGCAATCATTACATATTAATATGTAAATAACTATATTTCCATTACAGAAATTTGTAATTATTACCATGTATTTCATATGGATCATGCAATATTTGCGATGGCCTCACAAATTTACAATTTTTGTAATTGTTAAATTGTCATAAACTTACATCAAGATGATGTAGATATTAGATATGTAAATTAATGTTGATAAATGTATGGTATTGTCATTATGGTAATAAACATGTTAATATTGTAACAATATTAATTAGAATGTATTTATAATAACGCGATCATAATTTATTTGAATCAATGTGTTACTATTTTAGTAAAACAAAATTATCATGAACGTAATTATGATGTCGTTTAAATCAACCAATAATATGAAGACCTGTGAAAGACCTGTGATCAACGCCACGTGATTTCCACTGTAATGAGATTTATTTCCTATCATGCGTCCAATATAAAAAATTTTTTAATGTTCACTGTAATGAATAACAAGATTTTACTATGAAGTTCACTGTAACAAGCAAAATTTATTATAGTGTGAACTGGGACATGAAAAAAAGTTCACTGTAAGCCATTTCCACTGTAACAAGCTTCACTGTAACGAGCTTTGACTGTATTGTGCTACAATTAATTTCAATTATTTTAAAGTACTTGAGTTACGTTAAAATGCACAAAAGTAGTTAATAGGTAA